CTGGAGAAAAGCAGCTAGTGGAGCAAATTCAGACATGCACAGCATTTTAGTGAAAGATGATCCAAATAGCTAATGAGGGGACCAAACACTCCAATTTATGCAAAATCGAAACATTGCAAGAGAATTGCAAGAAATGTCTTCTCACCTTGTTGCAGTACACACATTTATATGGTCGTTCCCCAGAGTGCACCCTGGTGTGCTTGTTTAGACTGGAGGACTGAGAGAAACTTTTACCACATACAGAGCACTGAAATAAGAAAAAATAGGCAATTGTTCTGTAACAGTAGAAGCCGTTAGATCCCATTCTGGTAGGACACAGAGATGTGCAAATGTTCATTATATGCAGGTGAATTGCAGCAAGATGTTACCGCAGTCTCTAATTGCATAACTATATACATTTAAGGCTCTGAACCTTTCAAAAATGATTTGGAAGAAGTGCTTCAGACATCCTGGAAGCAAACCATCTTTTGGGGGCTTCTACCTGAGCTTGAAAAAAAGGTGTAACTACTCCATCCCTTTGGAGCATACATGCAACATCCCATGGAGTAAGGTTACACCACCACTTTCATCATTCTGAAACACACACACACACACACACTCACTCACCACACATACCTCTCAGACATCCCTGGGGAGCATAACCACCTTTCCCAAAATCAGGCACGATATCTGGCATGCAGCTATAGCCTTCCTACCCTATTTTTACATGTATAAACAGCTGTTTCCAAGCATACACTTCTGCATTAGATTCAGAATGCCTTCTTGATCATTATTCTAGCATTGTTTATTTATCTGGGATACTTAATGGCCATCAGAGTACAAAAAACAATATTGCTTTCTCTGTGATAAGAAAGATGAACTATCTTCTCTCTCCTCCCTCCCCCAATATTTTTGGTTTATGTACCCAGTCTTTATTTATTATCTGCTCAACTTGTTAAGAATTTATTTAATTTCTGTGGAGTCTTAAACATGGGTATTCATAAGGAAGTTGCACTGAATTCAGTGAGACGTCTAAATGTATATGTAATTGCTGTCTGAAATTGAAACTGTCTTCATATGTATTTAAAAGTTATAGTAAGGGAAGCAAACATGAATCATTTAAATTGTAACATTAATTTTAGAACAATGTATGATAGTATATATACGCAATAATTCTCTATAGTGACATATGTACATATAATTCATACATTTTAAAAAACATATATACAGGTTTTGTTTCCAGCCAATTTGGTCTCCTCTGTTGGCATAATAGTTTTTGAAAGAAAAAAGGTAGCTCCTATTCTAAGCATGCCTATTCAAATGTACACTCCAGTGAATTCAACTGCAGTTACTTCTAAGTATTTACTTGAACTGCAATCCTATGTACTTCAGAGCAAAACTAACGTAACAGTCTCACTTAAGCTTCCATAGCATGAAATAAGAAATCTCTTTCTATCCACCCCATGGGAATTTCTCAGAAACCATTAAAATAAGATGCTGTTTTTAAAAATGTTGCACTTATTTCCTGCTTGCTGAGTCCAGCTTGAATTATTGAAAGTCTACTGAGAACATTAAATGTCTAATCTACCTCTTAATTTCTTTTAAAGCCTCAATTTTTGGAAATGAATATTTTTAAAAAATGAAGAAATCATTTTAGTAGCTTAGTAACTTGTTTATTTGCACTCTCTTCCTAAGAACCTAAATGGATTATTACTACATTTTTTTACTATTTTTTACTAAATAGTAAATCTATTTCTAAATTTATAATAATTTGCATCAATTGGAAGAGGCAGTTTCTAGAACATTGATTTAAAGGGGATCTGAAGACTGTTTCATTTGATTCCATTATTAAGGAAAGGGTGAGAAAATCATTACTTCCTTAAAGGCAAGTAAAATCATATTTTGATATGATTTACTACATCCAGGAATATGAATTTTAGAGTATTTGTCCCAATAAATCAGTAATGCAATAATAATAATAAAAATAAACAAAATAAAATAAAATCTGTTAGATTGACTTCTGTACATCAAAGAAAAAAGAATCATAAGGCCCCCAGTGTGTTCTCACAGTACTTTCCCTTTTTTTCATGGAAGTCTTGGGTCATCAGATCTGGGCTGCAGAACTCTGGACAACCACTAGATGACAGGAGGGAGATTTCTGCCATTTACCGGGCATCTCGATTTTTGCAGCCCAGGCCTGGTAATGCTTGGGAGCCTTGGCTGAAACCAGACAAGGTGCTGGAACTCTCTCAACCCAAGCTAACCAGACAGTCACCAACATTCTGTTGGTCTCCATCAATAAAGTGATAGCAATAATTTAGAAGACTAATCCTCACATACATACACTGATGAGCCACAAAAATACTAAGTTGCATGAGAGCATGACTTGCAATACAAACCTTCTGAATCTTTTTAAATCATAAAGTAAGATTATAAATAAAGTAAGACTACAAGAAATGGTAGTTGGGCTTCCATCCACCAAATCGGAAGCCCAGAACAATATTTACTCAGAAATAAATCTCATGGCATTAGATTTTATTTCCAAGTAAGATTGTGCACTAAGTGCTTCTTGAGGAAAAAAAACTGAAGATATTTTTCAATGCATCAGCTGAGGAAGCAGAATTCCTACAGAAAAACAGTCAGTACAGAGATACTGACTCTCTCCTAGTAGGGACAGTCCCTCTCTGCCTTATGCTAATGGAGAAATGCCTGCCCAAAGCCCAGTCCAAAGTCACAGGGAACTGCAGGGAGATGACACTCTGCATATGCTTAAAACCACCCTCCTCATCACTGCCCCTTCCAGCGTTGTAGGCCACATGCAGGTTCTAGCAGAAAAAAGCCGTAATTCACCAGTCAGTTGTTTATTACCCTAGAAAGCAAGAATCACACCAAGATACTCAGCGCCCTTACTTTATGAGGTCTGTGCTTCTCATGGACATGGAGAACATGGATCCTCAGACGGTCCCTTTTTTCAAAAGATCGGTTGCAAAGATGGCATGGGAATTTCCTGTCCCCTTGGTCTACACACCGCGTGTACTTCAGGTGTTTGTCCCGGTAGTATCGGTAGGCAAACACTTTTCCACAACGCTCACATTTATAACCCTCCACAGATTCTACAGGGAAAGGAGGAAAAGCCACCATCAGGAGTTAATTAAAGACAACTTGTAGCAAAAGACATGGGCAGCAATCAGAAGGCAAGTATAATACAAAGTTGTTTTGAATAACAAGGAAAATGACTAGGGAAGGGCTAAATGAAAACATACAGATCTCTTGCAACTACAATGTTGGGGTTGCCAGTACATTAACTGAAAACCAGCTAAGTTTTGATCATGAATATATTCCTGAAAATATACTCTATGACTTAATTAACCTTTAATGCTCACTCTATATGTATTTGCCTCTGTGAAACAAATATGCCTATTAAAGCCCTTTAAAAAATGTTAGCCAGACATAACATAGAAACTAAAGAAATAAAATCCCATCCCTTGACATTTTTACAAATAAGGGACAAGGGAAACCATGTGAGTAGTAGTGAGTTAAATGCAAGGCAAGAAACTGAAATCCTATAGATTCACTCAAAAGTAACCACCAGTTGAAGATGGTGCACTTTGAGGCAATATGTTCAGGCTCCCTAGGTTGGACTTCCTCAGCTCCCTTCCAACTCCAGCTGGACTGTTGGTAAAGATTACAAAATAATGTGGTACTTTGGACAAAAAGGTAAGCCAAATATTTTATCCTGCTGCTGTTATTTACACTTATGCAGCTGAAAGTTTACAATAACCCCAGAGGAACAAGACCGCAGAGAGAAAGCCTCTTCTAATTATAGCCCCTTAAAGGAAGTCAGGAATACTTCTTCTCAGTTAAACTAAACATGCAGATGATACTGCTCCTCCAGCAATGAAGAACTATGTTTGTATCTCTCTGTTGGGAAGAACCCAACCCTCAATCCTCAAGTTTTCACAGAAGGAAGGCTCCTTGCTTTCAACACTAAGCCTGTAAGAGACTGCTGACAAATCAAGACATGTCCATTGTTTGCTTGCACAGCACACTACCCATAGTGAATTTAATGATAGTTTGCTCTAACTAAGTTTTCTGTTTGCACAAGTCACTAAACCGTAAGCTGGGCTCTCATAATATGCGAGGGGCAAAAAGAGACCAACTTGCTTGCAGTTCAGCTGCTCACCTATATGCACTCCGTGTCCAGAGGGGAAAGGTTTGCAAACTGACCTTCACTGTGCTGTGGGGTTCGTTTTCCTTCTGCTGTCCCCTTCAGGCTGATAGGGATGCCTAGGAATTGCGAGTAACAGTCGCCATACCAGACCAGCAGTTCTTGGCCAGGTGTGATTTCTTTGCAGCTCTCATAGTAGATCTGGCCTTGGCACTGAAGGGCTGTCAGGTTTTGCTCCTCTGGGAAGCGGGCGCAGTTCACTAATGACATCCAGTTGCCAGAAGAGCCTCTGCCATCGATGAAGTGACTCAACTGGCCATCTTCAAAAATCTGCAAAACACACATACACATTTCAGAAATGCGTAAGTCCAGGAGACCAATGGTACTTCTTGAGAAAGAGATTTGCACACCTCTTTACCAAACACTGGACCACCTTTAACACCCAGGTGACTGAATGGTTAACTTCAGACAAAGCAGAAGAGATGACTGAACCTTTGATGTTCAGACTCTCAGAAGGGGGATGTAATGATATGTACATTTTCTTGGGGAAATCCCTTGGGGAAAATAAAAAATCAACATGGTTTACTGCCAAATGAATTCAGGGGTGAACAAGCTGTCATCTAGCCTTCTCCCCCCTCAGCTGAACCATGCATAGCAGGCACGTGGGGAGTGGAGTGCACATTGTTTCTATCCCACCTCAAACCCTAGCAATTCTCGGCTGCTCTAAGGCAGAAGGTATGATGTCAGGTACCTCCCACATCAAGGAATTGTCATCATAAGTTTTAATCTCGCTGGTGTTGACCACCTTGCCCTGGAAGGGACCAAACCGAATACCCTTGAGGATGGTTTCTGTGCAGAAGACACCCAGCTGTGGACCTTCCACAAATACAGTCTGCAACACAGTCAGACCTAGAGGGAGAAAACCAAGTTGGCTAGTCAAGAAGCAGAAATGCCACCAATGAAATGATGGGCCAGCAAACATCCTTCCCAAATGAACAAAAATGCAGCTACCTTTGGGAAGCTGCAAAGTTGATCTATCCAGCAGTGGGGGCTGACTGTCAGCATCTCCTGAAGGGAAAGCAAAGCAGAGTCACCTGTTAGCTGACACTGACAGGGAAAGAAGGATAAGCAAGTATGCTTGAACTGAAAACACTGCTAAATTCGAATAATTAGTCCAAAATAATTGCCATGCATTGCCATAAGATAAACTGAGCAGCAACACTACCAGATATGCCTCAACCGTGTCCATTTCAACTACCTCAATTAATTAAAGAAAAATGTAAGTAATAAAGGGTTAGGAAATGCCTGAGGGATAAATCAAAGACCAACATGGTTAAAGTTGCTGCTGAACCATCAGTCTTTTTTCTACAAGAGGGATCCTGGCAAGAAGGGGGCACATGCAAAGAGGGCAAAGCATCAGCCTGAAAAACATAATAATAAGACTCCATTATACCACCCTGGTAGGGAGTGATGGGAGTTGTGAACCAACAGACCCAGAAGGGATACTGTTAGATAAGCCTGTTCTAGGCTATTTTACGTTGAAAATGTAAGCAATTTATTGGAAATAATGAAATATTTCATTAAATTCCACACCCAATATTTTGTTAACAAAAACATCAACATCCAGTCTAAAGAAAATGACAAAGCGATGAGATAAATGCAATTATAACTATGACAATTAGCAGTTGCTATGTTTCCAACATAGGGACTACTCTGATTTTTAATCCACAGTTTTTAAAGTTAAGGGTGTACATGTATTGATTTATACCACCCCAAAGTGCATCAAACTACCCAGAGGCTATCCTTCTTAAACCATTTCACTCTCACTTCTCCTCCTCCTCCCTTTTTAACATCCTTCCTGTTGCAGAAAAGGTCTGTGCTGCTGCTGTTATAGTTCTCCTGCCAACCGGCATCCTTGATGCTTCAAATCGATGCTTCCTTTTGCCAGGAATCAGACAACTAACTGGAAAAAAAAATTACCAACCAAGATTACGGCAGGTTCGAGAACTCCTTAGGCACCAGACCAAAGGTTTGCTCAGCCTTTCGAGGAAGGGATCCAGAGTCAGAGGAAAGCAGCTTCTTACTAGAAGGGTAAGCTGTTTTCCAGCCTCCCACCTAGTAGAATTTCTGCCCGCTTCCCCCTCGCGAGGCAGGGCAATCCAGCGCATCTTTCTCTGGGCTTCAGCCCTGCTGATCAAAAGCCTTAAATATCTGAAGAAACTTCCTGCCCATTTTGTTCAGCGGGGCTTAAGCACAAAGTGCGCCCGTCGGTGTTTTCGCTGAAGGCGAGAAGTTTTCCCCAAAAGTAAACCGCATCTGACACAACGTGCAGAGCAACCGAGGGCGCTTTGAGCAAAGGCGCGTCTCTCTCGAACTCGCCCAAAGCAGAAGCGGGGCTTTGGGGCTCGAGATTGGGCGGAACGGCCCGCGGCGAGAAAGCGGAGGGAAAGCGCCCGCTCAGCCGCCTCCCTTACCCGGGCTGGGGCCCACCTGCCGAGAGGGCGCGCGGCTGCTTCCCGCCGGGCAGGGCGCCGTAGAGGACGGCGTGGAGCTCCTGGGCCGTGAAGCGGTAGCTGGGCGGGCGCTGCTCCGAGTCCGGCGTTCCTTCGAGGCTCCTCTTCTTGGGCGAGGATCTCTTCCCGGGGAAGGGCGCGGCCAGCACTGGCACAGGCCGGGGGAGCGGAGGCGGCCGGAGCAGGGGAAGGGCGGGCGGCGGAGGCGGCCCCAGGAAAGTGGCGGGGAGGCGCTGGAAGGGGAAGGGCGGCACCGGAGGCGAGCCCGGGCTCAGTCCCCCGGCAGCTGCCGTCGGGGGCTGGAAGACGACCGCCGGCGGAAGCGTCTCGAGGAAGAGCGGCGGATGCAGAGCAGGGGCAAAGGAAGCGGCGCCGGTGGGACAGCTGTGGAACAGCATCAGCAAGGACTCGCCGCCGGCGCCCTCGCCGCCGCCGGCCTCTTTGGAGGCGCGGTCCCCGCCGACCGACGAGCCGATCGCCGCGCACCCG